AAAGTTGGTATGAGATATTAATCCCATGGCTGAGAGAGAAGACATCGAATGATAGTGATAATGTAGATATACAAAACCTTTGTCTTATAATAATATTATAAATACAATTTATAAATATCTTGAAACAAGAAAAATAATATTATTTTCCTTTTTTTATAATAGATTCATTTTACATCATTTAGTACAAGAATATACGAAAATTATATTTAGCTTTGTTTAATCTTGTTTATCTTCTTAAGAGACATGAATTCATACAATAAATTTAAGGTGTACCAACTATTATTGATTATCTGGAGTCTGATGACATGTCATGCTATGAGTACACAGCAGTTAAAATACCTGACTGATATTTACTTATTATATCACTCATAGTGTGGAAGAAGCTTTATATAAATAACCTGCTAATTTTTCAACTAATCCATTTTCTATTAATCTTAAATTAGAAAAAGTGTATGATAAGTATTTAATTTTCTGACATTAAAAATATACACAGTGAATTTTTGGTATTCGAACATAATCAATACATTTTTTTGAATGTTGCAATAAAGATAATTATTATGTTCTAAAAATATAAACATAAGGAAAGTACTTACATTTATATCAATAATTGAAAATTTACTTAATCACAAATGAGAAAAATAAACTAACTAACAATTTATAAAAGTTAAGTTTTTCAACATACAATTATTATTTTACAAATTTTGAAACTTCATTTTAATTACCTATGTAATTCAGTTAGAGAACAAAGGCTTTTTGTTTCAGTTTTTTTCGGGAACCGAATTACATTTTGTCTTGCAATTAACTTCATTATTATGTCAATTTATGTAAAGTTAAGATTTTTTTCTAAAAAATCAATTTTACTATCAATCTTGAGAAATTTGATGTTCCCTTTGCGTAAATTCGTTGATGTATCGAAAACAGAAACCAGACCTTTGGTGTTTCTTTTGGTAAATCCATTTTTTTTTCATATATTTTTGTTCAGAAATGACATTTTCTATTGTAATTGACTATAAGACTTTATTATTATGTCAATTTACTTTTATTTACTTAATTCAAATGAATTGAAGCCATACTATGTAAAGCATACTTTGTACGTACTCTACGTACTTTCCAATGATTAATATCCTGTAATTATTTTGCAATTTATGTGAAGTTTATACATTTTTAACTAGTATATCTTTAAATATTAAATATTTAAATATTAAATTGGGAAACATCAAATATTAAATGATTCTGCTGCTTTTAAAATTGACTAAAATCCATCTTGATGACACAGCACCTAGAGCCATATCCCCAATGAACTTTTTAATTTAGAAATGCGATATTTCACTTGACGATGACAAGGCGCATCCGCCCGTTTATATTTACTTATACATAAGGCAAACGTTTTCATTAATCCGCGAAAGGCGTCCTCTTCGCCGATGGAACGCGGTTCACGAATAGGCACAATCTCTTTCTGGAAGGAAAACCGTTTGGAATTAGATGGAAAACGGGGGAGATTCGTAATTTCCGGCTTATCCCTTATCCGCGACACGATTGCAACGGTGCGTGCACGGAGAAAGGAAAAGAACGAAAGAATATTCAAATAGCAATTGTCGAAAAGGGCGTGCAACAGAGGGCTGCGATGTGTGTTAGAAAGAGATGAATAAATGGATAAAGAAGAAAGAAGGATAGAAAGAGAAATATAGAAAAAAGAAATCGGGCGGACGGCGGCTTAGCGTTTTGTAAATTACCACCGCCCTACGCCCTCAGAGCGGCTCATCCGGCCGTGGCCTCGTGAAGAATTCAGTCGTTTATTTTGCCCTGTCACCGCTGACATCTTCCATTCTATCTTCCAGTTTCATTTTTTCTTCTCTCCCTGTTTGTTGCGTTGCGTCCTCTCCTCCTTGTTTTTCTTCTGCTCCTTTACGCGTGTGATCTTAATTCCAAATGGAAATTAAATACTGATTTATTTAGAGCACAAAAAAATCGATTCATCAAAAGAAACAGGGAACGTCTGGTTTCTGTTTTCAATACATCAACGAATTACGCATGGAGAACATCAATCGCCGAATTAATTCGTTTCTTAACTAGGTTTGTTTCTCGTATACTTTATGTGGAAATACACGATAACTTGTTGCGTTTGTGAAAGGATTCGCTTTATTACGGCTTCCGAATTTGTGGTTGAATGAGAAAAAAAATAACGAACATTTATATATATAACGATTGAGAGAGAGATAGGGTGTGAAAAAGAGGAAATGCGATGAAGAGAAAGAGGAATAATGTTAGGTTGGCTGATCCATATGCGATCTTGAGCCGTTTGATTTATGAATACCATGGGCGTTCTGCGACTTTGATAAATGCTAAACGATGAAACATTATCTGGAACTTATTAATCACGCGGAAACGCACGGTGATAAATCGGAGCAACCAGACCCAAAACAAACAAACAAAAAGTGAATGTATTCGCAAAAGGGCGCAGGACGGATTGCCACAATAAATGTTTAATGTCAGAAGGTTGCGAAACAAAAGGGATCCCGATGCCAAAGAACGCGCCACTCGATTTGCCGCTGATGCGACTTAAACGTTTCCTCCGGCGATTCACAATATTTGTAAACACTTATCACTTTTGTTCCATCTGCTGAAGCAGAAAATCGTAGAGATCTTGTCTTGTTCCGAGTGATTTTCCTTTTTGTTACTGGATTTGGAATTCCACAAATAAACTATAATCTATAAACAGTATGGACCATCAATTTCAACCCTATTAGATGACCACAGCAAATTTTGCAGTAGAAGTTGCATATATACCAATACCTCGCATAGTCCGGCTTCAATTAGTCCATTATTTCTTTATACACAAATAAGCGTGTATTTTTTTCTTTTGTATCTATTTAGTTCCTCAATTACTCCGGAACCTATTACCCGGACTAAACGAGGTATATATAAATTTTATAATGCAAATAAACTACTGTCGTGTTCCGGTATTAAAAATCATTGTACACCGTGGATTATCTATAATTATGTCATTGTAGTGTTTTTGATCCAGGACCCCCTTTTGTACTTAAAAAATGTAAAAGACCTCCCGAGGAATAGGTATATATAGAAAAATGTAGCAAAACAGAAAATTAGAGAATTACTGTTATACAGCTGGAGCTCAAACGGTCGATTGCGAGAGTTTTTTGATAAATTAAGTGGCCACAGTTAAAATAAAATCAAAAAAAATCAATATTTAATATTCCCCGTAGAATATTAGAGTAGCGGTAGTTAAATAAATATAATGTTCAGCAGTGAAGTAGCATCTGTTAATTTCGAGTTTTCATACGATCAACACAGTGAATTCTATCTTAGTTTTTACACTTTGTTTTGGTGTTCTTTGTCGCAGTTCATCATTTTTTATTTCATTATTATTATTGTATGAATATACAACATTAAAATACATAAATATGAAAGGAATTTAAGTTTAAACGATTTAGTATAGGAAATAGAAAATGTTCCTTTTTTTCTAGAAAACCGAAAACACAAATCTGTAGAATTACCTATAATTACATATTTCACACTCAATTTAATAGATTGTTATAGGTCTTTCATGAAATATTTGTTCTCGGTAGTCATTTTATGAAATGTGAGTATTATTAATAAAAAAAAAATCTTTATTAGTCACCAATTGTAACCAAAGGGCTATCGACTTAAGTCTTTTCTCCCCGAATATTATTATATTCTTTAGAATCTAAATATTCTACAATGTAGAGTATTTTTGGGGTTTATAAATATTTTTTCTTTTGAAATCAGTATTTTTATTAAACAATCAACTAAGATAAGTGTTGTTCTCTTGAATTACCAATACCAGTTAATACTTATGAAAAAAGTTCCCTATCAACATAACTAACTAAGATAATGTTTTATAATTAACAAAAAAATAATCATATTAGAAGTGGTATGAATGTAAATATATTTTCGAAGAAAGGAAATCAGTTTTTACTATGTGGATGTGGAAACTCACCCGTTTTATAACTAACAACTCTAAGATTGTAAATCTGACAATTTATGGGATGTCTTATTGTAAGTTATCAACATTTTCCAGTTATGGTATTAAAGAACTGAATATATTGACATGTATTATTAAAGTTGACATTCGTGTAAATTTTGTTCTTTTAATATTTTTACTAAATCCGCACTCTACCTACATAGTGCGGGTCTGATTAAAGCTGATTCACTATAGTACGGTGTGAAAATTTCAATACAAACTAAATTTCAATTGTGCAAAACAAAAACAAAAAAAATCTAAAAAATTAGTAAACAAAATTATTTTTTCTACATAGATTTTTGTGTTTATTTTCAAAATCCTCGATTAGTGCGTATTATTGACGGAATCGATTATCATAATAGTGGTTAAACATATATTGAAATTTAAATAAAAATCAGTAAACTTATAATATTAGATTTTCTTCAATTATTTTCTATATTTTGTATATAAAAAATTCCATAAAATTTGCGATTAATTTCTTTTTCATTTATACAATAATAACATTTAGATTTTTTTTTAAATTTAAATCAAACTTTAATTAATTAATATAAACTTATAGTCATTGATTTTCTTCAATAATTTCTATATTTGGAATTGACAAAGTTCCGGTAATAACCCGTCAAGTGCGTTTCCACGAGTCGACACTGATTGTCACGATGTTTCGTGTTGTCTACGTTGTCTGAATACTGCGTAGTTACATTTGGCATCGAGAATTGCATTGGGAAGTTGGATACAATTGCATAATAGAATAAGTTTTGACAGGCACAACTTTCGCTATTATATCGGTCCGTGACGCTATTAAACTTGTATCGATTGCCGGAGGCGTAACTTGAGTGCCGACTCAGTTAGAGTTAGTTAGTTATTTATCTTGGATCCTTCTGGCTTTCGGCCGCGGCCCTTTCCGCCCTTATCGGCGCGCCATTCAATTAAAAAGGGCCGCCACTGCCGTTGCCGCTGCCCGCAACCCCGACTGACTGGTTGTTTTGTGTGTTTACAGGGCTGAGACGATGATACCGTGAGGTCCAGGCAGTCCCTGCGAGCCATGCCTACCCTTAGCATGCTAAAAAACGCCCTCGGCCACCACGCAACGGCACCCGTTCTCCATGTTAACGATGTGATACAGCCCACGACTTCCGATGGTAAAACCCTCAGCTTTTTGCATGCTCAAAGCGAAGCACTCCCTTCGCAGTGCCCTCTTCCTTTTCGCCGAATACCGGCCCTTGGATACACAGACGCATTCCCGCTTAATCGCATCTCATTCTCCACGAAATTGAATCCCGGGGCGCGTAAAACATTACGCCCTTCCATTATGTTTCTCCATATGAATATTTCATGCGATGCATCAACATTTTTACTGCCCTAAAAGGGATTAACATTAAACGCGAAACAGATTTGATGGATCACCCACACACAACTTCATCTCGCATCATATCATCCTTCTTCTCCTCATCCTCATCCTCCTTCTCTACCTCTCACATAAAAGAGCTCCACCGAAGCTCATGCAAAATTCTATAACAATAAATTCATTTCATCTCTTATAAACTCCTTCAAGCCACTTACTTTCCACAAAGAATATAAACTGCATCGCTCAGTTCGCATACATTTAAATGGCAACGATGACAATGAGAAGCGAGGATCATGGTAATTTTCCTTCATTCATTTGCGTTGCAAAGCATTTGTTTATGGAACCGTTGTTTTTGTGGGATTAACATTCCTTTAAGTGCACTCCGGCACTCCGAGAGGACACGCTCATCATACAATTTCCGCTTTTGCATCTGCAATTCCTCGATTACATGATAATGCGAACTTTATGTTGTATGTAGAAAATCTGGAGGAATTCAATGAAGGCACCATAGGCAACTTCCTCCGCTTATCACCGGATAAGTTTCTGAATTTGACCGTTCCTAATGACACTCTGGTTAATGGCACATTCAATAATACCTTCATCGGCAACGAAGATGGTGAACCCTTGGCTCACATTCTCCTCATGGGAGTACTCTCCATTGTTCTAGGCCTCATGATCTTAGTAACCATCATCGGTAAGTTAAAGAACACTTAACCTTTAAATCAATATTTATCAATTGTCACCATTTATTGCTTTAACATGTACTTACTAAATATTTACCCTTTTCTTATGACAAATTGCTGTCGTGTTGAGGTTATGTTTTTAAGCTCTGAAGTTAGTTCTGTATGAGTTATCAAAATACGTTTCTTTAGTTTCTCTTATAACAGTTGGAAACGAGTGTGTCAAATCTTTTCGTCAGCAAAGTGTTAAATGACAGCTAACATTTCTCATTTTGCTAACTAGTTTTTGTTAACATTTGTCATTTATATTTCTCATAAATCTTATAAAAATAAATAAAAAATCTTTATATTTCAGGAAATGTCTTCGTTATTGCTGCCATCCTTATGGAGAGGAACCTGCAGAATGTCGCCAACTATTTGATCGTGTCGCTTGCAGTTGCTGATTTGATGGTAGCATGTCTGGTCATGCCTCTGGGTGCAGTTTACGTGGTGAGTGACTACTTCACGTACTCTTCACTTTATACATGGTTTCATTCGGTTTTAAAGTGCCATAAATAATCAATTAAACATTAACTGCGGCACTAATTACGAGCACCGTGATTTGCGCATGAACGGCACGTTTACATTCGGCGAAGCCGACGAATTTACAATCGCAATCATTTCATACTACAGCCCACATGGGACCAGGGGTCATTTATTTTATTTAAATTCAATTTGCAGCTTTGCGAATACTTGCAAATTGTAGCACAAATATGAAACATCACGAATACAAATATAAATGTATGTCCTTCTATAAATATATTTGAACATTCTGCTGTCCCTTACAGTTTATGAACTAGAATTGTATACCCAACGATTTAAACCTCATTTACCTATCATTTTCAATTGACAACTGCCACAATCATTAAAGATAATTCCAATTTATATGTAAAAAATAATAATTCGCGTTCAGCAGTATCTAGCATAGTCCGGGTAATTAGTT